TTAATTTTCTCAGAAAAATGCTTGTCTTGGCTTGGCATACGACCCCTTGTATTTGTAAGCACGTATTCCCTTACACCCTGTATAAATATTGAATTTTCTTAATTGTTTGCTTATTTAAATTTTAATAAAATTTAATATTTGCGCAAGCATTGTTGTATTAAATTACATTAATCATGATAATCCAGTTTGTAAAATATTAAAGTTTACGCAACTATTAGAAAATTTATTGGTCCGCAAAGCGTGATCGGTATTTTTGTGCCAGCCATTTATCTGATAAAAATACGATTAATTACGGTTTCATAACTTTTATTAATACGCGACATGAAAATAATATCCCGGTTGAAAAAAGTGGAAAAATTAGCCCCCCGGGGGCCTTAGACTCCCATTCTATTCAGGTCAACTGTTAAAACGAAAACTTTTACTCGCTTTTAGCGAAAAATATTAGTAGATAAAGGCGTTCTGTGTTTGTTTTCTTAAAACGTTTGCCTCGGTATTTCCTTATTTAAAGAGAGGGGCGACCATAAATAATGATTTCGATGTTAAACGTTGCGAAATTCTGCTATTTCCAACTTATACATTGTATTATTTGCATTGCCAAGTTTGCCAGTATTTTTCAATCAACCGCATACCTTCCATATTAAACAGTTTTCAACATCGAAAAAATTTCATTATTCCCTACTATGATATATATATATTGGGGGCATTTCGCTTCTCAGAGCAGGGAATAAGATTTCATATGTAGGTATACATTTGATTTACGATTTGTCGCGCTAAATAAATAGAAAAAATATGAGATAAATGGAAAAAGAAATTAAAATCATCCTTATATACAGTGTGGTTTTACTTATACACTCACAGGCAAAATAATCGATCCACACAAATTTTCGATGAATTTCAATCGCAAATAACTTTTTTATTTGTTTTCGGATTTAAACAAATATTAAAGAATATTGTAGATACATTAATGAAAAATCGCTCACATTTTAAAAATTACTAAAAAATACACGTACGTTTATAATATACAAGTTTAAACAAAAATATGTTTTTTACCATAAGTTTAAGACACTCTGTAGAGTGGCAAAACCGTATATTGTTCTAAATTTAATTATCAAGTTACATCTATTTTTAAGAGTTTTGTTTTTGGTTCACCTTGATATATTTATTTTTGTGGAAAATGTGGAGTTTTTTAAAAAAACATTGCAATTTCCAATATTTTTCCTGTATGAAGAACTAAGGTTGCTATGGTCCATCCATAGCCTATGGAGGATGACAGTAACAGTTTTGTTGAATCATCTCTTACTTGGACATGTCATATACAGCTTTCAAAAGCTATCAAATTGTTTTTTGTAAATTAATGAGGTGTCTTCTTACTTTTCCTTGCTCTTTGTACTTTACTTCTTGTGACGTTTAAAAGACTTGCCACGTAATACTGTGACCGTCCATCCTGGATTAAATTAAAGGCTCTGGCAACATCAGTCAGAGACATATCCATTTTTTAAAGTAAGAAGACACCTCAAAATTTAAACATTAATTTGCAAAAAACCATTTGATAGCTTTTGAAAGCCGTGTATGACATGTCAAAGTATGGGATGATTCAACAAAACTGTCACTGTCATTCTCCATAGCCTATGGATGGACCATAGCAACCTTAGTTCTTCATACAGAATAATATTGGAAATTGCAATGTTTTTTATAAAATCCATATTTTCCACAAAAATAAAAATATCGAGGTGAACCAAAAACAAAACTGTGAGATGAGTCTTGATTTAGAACAATATACGGTTTTTTCACTCTACAGAGTGTCTTAAACTTATGGTAAAAAACATCTTTTTGTTTGTTTGTTTGAAAATTTGTGGATCGATTATTTTGCCTGTGAGTGTACAAAAGTCTAATACCCTTCTGTATTTATTTACTCATCCAGCTATTAGCTTAAGCAATGATTAGAAAATTTAGTACCTATTTTAAGAACATAACCACAAAATTAATTTTTTCATCGATTTTTTCTTTACTTTACTCAGATGAAATTAGGACAAGTTCACAGGTTAAACTAAACATTCAATTTTTGTAAATAAATCCAAAAGCACTTCCCTAAGTTAAGATATTTACAATTTGGGCCCATAACCTAAAATTGCAAATGCACTAGATTCTGTCATAAAAGTTGCCAGATTTTGTTTGAATTTACCTTCATCGCAAAAATGACATAATAAACAATTAATAAAAACGCCAAATTAACAATTTTCATATTTGATTTTTTCATTTTTGTAATTAGACTAAGTTTAAACAAAATCTGGCAACTTTTTTTGACAGTAACTTCCTATTTTAATATATTACATTAATTAGATAACACCCTGTATTCATATAAAGTTAATTGAAATAAATTATAAAACATTGAACAAAGTATAAATAGTTGAAGCGATGTTCTGATTAAATTCTTGTTATTATTAAAATCCTGGAGTTTGTGCTTCAACCTCGAACTCCGAGGCTAAAGTTATAAATTGTTAACTTTACATTTATTGGACGCGCAAGTTAATTAGAGAATCTAAATTTGATGCTAATGTAATTTGGAAAAGGGAATACATAAATAAGGCAAATAAATATTTATCCAGGGATAATTAACTAACATTGTTAAAATGCAAATTTCTGAATTTCTATTCTAATATCGATCAAATTTATTGTCATTGCTGTAATAACTCGTAATTACTTTACTGCTGCCTCACTGACAAACGAAAACATATGCGGAATTACTTTTCTTGTTAAATTAACCTTAAAGTAAAATTTTTGTTATTTTTACCTCTTTTAATTACCCTTAAGTTTCAAAACTTTAAAGTATTATGAGGGACGTAATTTTTACGAAAAAAAATTACTTACACTGTTTAAAATATCTGTGGTGAAAAGGGTAATTTTAAAGTTGTGTCAAAATCCAACACCAAGTGGTGTTAAATAAACACCATGAATTATGGTTGAAAATGTTATATACAGCAAACACCAAAACGGTGTTTATCTAAAAATATTTGAGAAGTGCACCTACACAGAAAAAGAGGAATAGTTAATTTAACTATATTAATTTAGTTGACCCATAAGTATTTATTTAAATCAACTGTGGGAAGGTTAATATAAACAAAGATTAGTTTGACGGTACTATACCAGATAGATATTTTATTTTTTTTAAATTTGTTAAATTAACCCAGAAAACTTAAGTGAAACCAACCCGCTGTATGGTTCAGTTTACTAAATATGTTGTTTGTAAAATAAGATTTACTTCAACCTAAAGCACTCTGTTAAAAGGATTAAAACTGTGCCGATCGCAGCAAAGGCGGTGTGTATCACGTGATGTTCTTAAATCTCGCCTCTGTTGACTTACAAGAAGAGTATATAAGCTCAGGTAGTCCTTTGCTTTGGTGTGACACTATAGTGTCAGTCAGTTGTTCGATACTAAAGAGACCTTAAATAGGTGGAAACAGCTGTCAATACTTGAAGTATTTTAAGTTGGTGGAACGCACTAAAAACATTATCTCTAGCAAATTGAAGGTTCAATTTTCTGGAATAATACCATGCGTCAAGGTGCCCTTTTTTCCTTTTTTTTTGTGTAGTATGATTTAATTTGACCAAAAACACAAAATATTTAACACTGAAAAGGAGTTAAATTTACACTAGTATAAAATTTTGTTGAATTTTTACCCAAGCAATAATTTTTCTTAAAACCGTAAAATATTTATAGGGCATATAATTTTTAAGATGTATCTTGCCTATTTTTATCAATAAAATAATTAATAATTATACATTAATGTGCGTTTGATTTTTAATGCAAAATATTATTAGTTTTGACAACTAAGTTATAAATGAAAAGAACAAAGAAATTACGAATGTCAATGTTTCAGAAAGAGAGAGCAAACAGTTAGTAATTATAACGTTATTTTTACGTAAATTTGTGGTATTTATATTGTTTTTGTTTTGATATTCCCTTAGTGGATCAAAAAGGTTATTATGTAGGTAAAATAACAAAATAAACCATTCCCCAAATTTGGTAGTTTTATTATATCATTATTTATGATTTTTTTCCTGATTTTTTTATGGTACCTAGGTATTTAAACTTCTATACATTTTATTCAATCTTAATATTTGTTAACGTTCTTTTTGCATCATATATGCATCATATAAAATAAAAAATGTCAAAGATTGGGGAACAGCAAATTAAATTTCTCCTGGGTTTTGTATGTAATTTGGAAATGGGGTAAAGTGTAATAAACCAAAAAGTAAAAGTTGCAAAGGGCGCAGATTTATAAGGAACATTTTCTTTGTTCGGACCGGCCACTTCAAAGCAGTCTTCAATCTTCTCCGGTATTTTTATTGCTCATACATTTTGTAATGGAAAAATAAATCCATTTTTTTTATTATTAAATTTTAAGTAAATGTGTTGGAAAATATCTTGGTATAAACATGGATATTTTGGACTTTATGATTTTTTCTTTCATAATAAATACTGCCGATTTAATAAGAGTATTGTATGCAACCCATTATACATTTTAAGATGTGCCTACTGCTCCTCAGCAGCAACTAAATAATATTTAAAAAGGTCGAATGGACCCTTTCATAAAATGTTGTTTAATAAAAATAATAAGTTAATTTTATTAATTAAATTAGAAAATCGCCGCGGCGGGCAAATATATAATAACCGTCGCAACAAACAGTATACGCAGACACTTCCTACATTCAAATAACATTTGATTTGATCATTAAATGACATTTGATTTAATAATCAATATTAATTATTAGTATTATTTAATGTGATTTCGGATAAAATTTATTATGCACCTCGGCATTAAAGTCATTTTTTATCACTCACGTGGTTATTTGCCGAGGCGAAAGCCGACTTTACTTCCTTGATACATAAGTAACTAATATTTGTCAGCCCTTGTTATTTGTGATTTGATTAGACCACCAAAGAAGAAGAAGACCATGGGCTGTCAAGGTCAGTCCAAAATGTCACGAACGTCGGGAAAATGGTCACCAGAATCAAAACCGACGTAGAATTTCAAACTAAGGTGCTGGAAGATCTGAGTGATGACATTTTGATCTTGTCCTTCTTGTCTTTGAACTGTGGCATTTGCAAGATGATGATCCCGAAAATAGAACGGTTCGTGGACGACCAATTCAATGCCAGAGGAAAAGTGCAAGTTTTTACCATTTACATCGAAGAATTTAGTCACATAGCGGAAGAATATGAGGTTAGGGACGTTCCATATTTCGTTTATTTAAAAAATAGGGTGATTGTAAATACGTATGTAGGGAACAAGTTGGAATCCTTCATAAAGGTGTTCGAGGAAACGAAAAGGACAGCGAGAGAACGGAAAAATAAAAAGATCACCAACAGGAAAGTTTCATTTCATGCTGCTGTTCAAAGTATTCCCAGTATACTGGGCGATACTGAGAGTGCAGAATACGCTCCAGATGATAAAAACCAAGATAATGCTACCAAGAATGATGAAGCCGGTTCTTCGAAGAAAAGTTAGTTTTTTATTGTATTATATATTTAGTTAAGCTGTAATAAAACTTATATACTATCTTGTTTAAAAAGGGCATTCTATATCGATAAACGTCTTCTGGTGAGACAGGTTAAATTAACCTTAAAAATGTACTTCGAGGTAAAACTTTTTTTAAAGTTATTTAAGTTTTATTTTATTAACATTTAAGTTTTAATACTTAAAAGTATTATGAGGGACGTAATTCTTACGAAAGAAAGTGTATTTCACCTAAAGGAAAATTTAACGGTAATTTTAACGTCAGAATTTCTACTTAATGGTAAATGTTACTCATAAGTCATAATTTTACGACATTAAGACCACTTTATAACCGTAAATAAATCCTATTCGCCTGGTATTTTTTAGGGTTATTAGTGGTAATAAATACTATTAATATTGACTAAACAAGGAAAAATAAGCTTAAAGTGAAAAATATTTTTTTAGGTCGCCATAATGAGTTTTAAAAAAAATATATAATAAGGAAAGTTTTAGTTATTAAAAAATGTTTAAACTAAATGATATTTAAAGGATTTTATAAAATTTTGTTGAAGCAATAATTTTTCTTAAAACCGTAAAATATTTAGGGGGCATACAATTTTTAAGATGTATCGTGCCTATTTTTATTAATAAAATAATGTGAGTTTGAGTTTTAATGCAAAATATTATTAGTTTTCACAATTTAAGTTATATTTTTTAATTTTACTCTAGGGTGGCCTTAATTACTTTGTAAGTACCATTTTATAAAATATAAATTAAAAGAACAAAGAAATTACGAATGTCAATGTTTTAGAAAGAGAGAGCAAACAGTTAGTAATTATAGCGTTATTCTTACGTAAATTTGTGGTATTTGTATGGTTTTTATTACGTTATTCTCTTACACTGTTCAAAATTTCATGACCATTTTAACACCAAATTAACACCATACATGGTCTATATCGATACAAACCAAAATGGTGTTAAATATGGTTCGTTGGTCCGGTGTAAATACAAATACCTACTAAAATAGTGTAAATTTAACTTTCACACAGTATTAAAATAAATTTTACCTGATGTAAATTGAACTCCTTTTCAGTGTTAAATATTATGTGTTTTTGGTCAAATTAAATCATGCTACACAGAAAAAAAGGAAAAAAAAGGAAGTTCCTTGATGCATTACTAGTATATTACCAGTTGTATTATTCCAGAAAATTGAACCTTCAACTCGCTAGAGATAATGTTTTTAGTGCGTTCCACCAACTTAAAATACTTCAATATTGACAGCTGTTTTCACCTATTTAAGGTCTCTTTTGTATCGAACAACTTGTAGTGTCACACCCAAGCAAAATACTACCTACCTGAGCTTATATACTCTTTATGTAAGTCAACAGAGGCGAGATTTAAAAACATTACGTGATCCACACCGCCTTTGCTGCGATCGGTACTATGCAACCAGGAATGCACGGCAAATTGTTTTAATCCTTTTAACAGAGTGCTTTAGGTTGAAGTAACTCTTATTTTACAATCAACATATTAAGTAAACTGAACCATACAGCGGGTTGGTTTCACTTAAGTTTTCTGGGTTAATTTAACCAATTAAAAAAAATAACTATCTGGTTTAGTACCGTCAAACTAATCTTTGTTTATATTAACCTTCCCACAGTTGATTTAAATAAATACTTATGGGTCAACTCAATTAATATAGTTAAATGAACCATTCCTTTTTTTCTGTGTAGGTGCACTTCTCAAATATTTTTAGATAAACACCGTTTTGGTGTTTGCTGTATATAACATTTTCAACCATAATTCATGGTGTTAATATTAACACCACTTGGTGTTGGATTTTGACACCATTTTTAGATTACTTTATACACCACAGATATTTTAAACAGTGTAGTAGATCAAAAAGGTTATTATGTTGGTAAAATAACAAAATAAACCATTTCCCAAATTTGGTAATTTTTCGTATCTATACCGTTATAAAACCGCTTTGGTTAACCGTAAAAAATACTTTAAAGTTGACCAAGTAGTAAATTTGTAGTTATTTAAACTTAAAATGATTGATTGAATTCATTGGTAATGTGTCAACTGATAAAAGACTAAATATTGATGTTTTGGGCACTGTGTGGGAAGAGTTAGGACGTGTGGCAACATTTAAAAGGTACACAGTATAAAATAAGAAGGAGCAAAGTAAAAAACCACCTCACACAGTTTATTATTTGCAACCGGTTCGGTTGGAAAGTTGTTATTAAATGATTTAACATACGATTGTTCCACATACTAAGAATGATGTCATTACACCAAACTTGTATCAAATAATTTATTATTAATCGCGAAATTTAATTGGCAACCGGATGAATGATGATGATGACGTGACATGTCGTAAAATATGAAACAATGTATTTTATGAGAATAAAATAAAAGTAAAAATTTTTTAATTATAAAGGTGTCAATAGTTTTTGCGCTGCTTTGGTAGGTTTCTTGATTCGTCACATTTGTAAGCGAGGCAAATTTTAATTCCATGGTGTATACTACTAACTAATAATCAAGTTTTTTTGTTTGTTTAGACTGTTATAAAAATGAGTTTGTAGTTAATTTTATTTTGTATAGGAAATATGTAATTTCGTTAATTAACAGATTACCCTCTTAAAAATAACTAATTATTAGTCATATTTGACTAATTGTCATAGCGAAAAAGCAGTCACTAATAATTAGTCAAATTCTACTGCAGAGCTGTCAAAGATACTTTTAAAAAGTATCTAGATACAAGATAAGTTACTTTTTGAAAAAGTATCCCAAGTTACTTTGGGTATCTAGTTACTCTTTAAAAAAAGGAACTTAAATACTTATCTTAAGTTACTTTTTAAGATACTTAATAAGATACTTTTTTAGTTACTTTGTATATTATGTAATAAGTTTCGTATAAACCGCCCAACAAAAATTCGTTCCAACCCCACCCTGATTTTTCAAATAATTTTAAGCTTATTTTTTTAACAATTTTTTTCAATAAAATCTAGTTGATTAAAACCATTGAAGGGTCTAATGCAAAAAGTGTCTAACTTAGGCACTTTTAAAATATCTTTAAAATAAAAAGAGATAAAATCGTTAATTAAACACCACTTAATTATAAAAAAAAAAAATTATCTCACACTTTTCATTTCATTTTTTAACATTTTTTTTAAATTTAAAATGGAAAACATACATTGAACATTATAGAATGTACGGTACAATGTAACAACCAATATCCTACATCAGTACATCATAAAGAAGCAAGTGCAAGTACTTACCTAACCTAACTTATTTCAGACTTACCACTATAAATTCAAGTCGCAACGAACAGAAACACCCTTCTACAGAGCGGGTGGCGAAGTCACAGATTATAAAAGAAGTATAGGTGAATAAAAATTAAGTAGGTATAACAAAAATCGCCGCCAGTCGATTGGCGCCAGTCGCTGAAGTCGCCAGTATACTTATTATAATAACTTCGATGGCCGCGGCCGTTTCGAACAACTTGACTAAAGGAACTTTTCTTGTGGTATCTTAGATACTTTTTGGTAACTAAGTTACTTTTTGGTATCTTAGTTACTTTTTGGTATCTAAGATACTTTTCGGTATCTAAGATACTTTTTTTAAGTTACAAGATACAGTTCCTTTTAAAAAGTATCTAAGATACTAGATACTTTTTGTTAAAAAAATAAAGGAACTAAGATACAGTAACTTAGATACTTTAAAGTAACTAAGTTACTCTAAAGTAACTAAGATACTTTTTTCTGACAGCTCTGTTCTACTGAATGAAATAGTCAAATTAGTAGATTTAAATTTAAAAAAAGTTTTGACCCAGCCGCGGATTGAACTCAGGTCTGTCACTTGTCAATGTTAGTGAACAAATTTTCAATAAATGCTTAGTGAATTCCAACAAACGTTTTGTAATTTTCCCAAATTGAGTTTTATTATTGATTTATTGTGGTGCGTAAAAACTTCTCAAACATGTTTAGTAAAATTACAATAGAAATGTTTGTAATATTTTATTAATAATAGATAAGAATAATAATGAAGGTGGCGGAAGTAGAATGGAAGGAAGGAAGAAGAGTCTGAGTGACTGCTGGTGAGACGTCCTGGTGAGGTCTGCGGCACGAGCCAGGTTTTTGCGGCGCCTTGTCATCTGGACCGCACACGAACACGAGGAACCTTGGCGGCGGCAGTGACAACGTTGCCCGCCGCCGCCGCCGCCGTCGTATTTGCGTACGGGCCGGTGTGAGGCGATGCGCGGAAAGCGAACGCCAATGAAAAGCGGGCCCTCCGTCGTATGCGCCGCCGCTATTACAGTAAGAAAACAGACATATAAAACTGAGCCAAGGGTTGAGGGGTCGCGGGACGCAAAAATCAATATCCCCGGGGCTGCTAAATCACGCTTATCAAGAGCACTTTTGCCTCCTCCTCCTCCCGCCCCTTGGTACACATCCTCCATCCTCATTGCCCCCCTTCCCTGAGACGGAACAACATTTAAATTCGACGGGATTTTGTTGTAGCGGATTTTGATGGTGTCCCGCCAGACGTCACGTCCTTCAGGTGTTCCTGCTTCCTTCCTTCCGGCCCCGTCCGCTTTCACACTTCCTCTTCCCCCTTCCTGCTCCTTCTTCCGCTCTCCCAAACAAATCATCCTGAGAGAATTGTTTCTCAATTTGTCACCACAAACCGACCATTGACCGCATCGCAAACCCCCCAAAGAAGACAAACGCAACCAATAAATAAGAACCGAGAAAGATTACAAATTTAATTAATATCGTTAGTATAATTGCTGCTTATACTACTTACGACCGTTGCAAATTGCAATACATGGCATTAATATTGCAGATTTATTGCCTCTGCTACTTTCCATGACAATTATTAATTGTCTAATAACGTTTCTACTTGTAAATTGTCGTAAATTATTTATCGATTCCCTTTTCTTCTAAGACTATTTGTCGCTATGATACACAGTAAAAAATATTTGTTAATTTTAACCAGATTTATGT